TTATAGGGTTTATGTTATTTTTAATATATAAATTTTAGGGCTTTGTATTTAATATTCTAGACGCCTCACGTTGTTTAACCTTTTTTCGTTTAGACACTTTGTTAAACTTCAAAACTAGATATACTTAGACGATCTTATTTTAACACATAGTATTTAAATAATCTTGTCTTAACAAGTATATAAGATATTTCAATTTATACTTTCAATAACATTTATTCAAATGATAATATACATATAACCATATATTATATCAATTTATAACAAATGCAATATTAAATGTCTTTATTATTAAAACAATATTACTTAATATCTGTAGTTTTGCGTAATATTTACAACGTCACTTAGTTAATTCAAAAATAACTTAAAAATATAAAATATAGTAATTAATATTATAATTGTTATTTGAAAATAACTATATTTATATTTGCCGTGTATCAAGTGTTAGAATTGAGTTCATCAATTCATTTTTAATTAATTTCCAAGATAGACTTTACATAAAGCTTAAGTTGAAGTTAGTTAAAATCCATGAGAATGGTGAATATAGGGTAGAGTGGAAATAGAGAAAGAGAGTAACAAAACTTGTTCTCTTAATTATTTTGCAAAGACAATAAAATCTTAACCAGTTTTCCAACCTTCACACACAAATGACCATATACATTGGGATCATTATAAAATATCCGGAAAAATACTTAACCTTTTACCTTTTAAGTCCACAGCAAATAGGAAAAGAAGAGAGCAAAAGGTTCCTTTGAATCATCATTTTCTTGTCCTCTTTCTCTTGTTTTAAATATGGAAGAAAAAGAATACATGATTTCACAAAACCCACCTAATTCAAACTAACGGAAATCGAATTTCAAGACGGACTTCAACAATTTGTCTCTATACCCATTTGCTAAAGATTTTTAATAGGAATTACCACTCTAATGTAAAGTCAGAAAAAGAGACTTCTGAATGCAATGAAATTGTGCCTTTTCGCTTCCCCATTGAGTGATTCTCCACTCCCATCCCAGCTAAAGGAAAGCTCAAATTCTCCTGCTGATAAGCATATTGGAAGGCCTACATCATACTCATGTAAACAAACCAAAGCTGGCAGTGATCGATAGACTTCTGAAAGCTGGTCATTATAAATGTCTTGATCATCTTGTATTTTTTCAATTGCCGGCAAACAAAAGGTGCTGTCAACTAAGAAATGGTGGTTGATTTTCAAAAGGAAGCTCTACTGGTGTTGCATTACCATAAAACTCTTCCAAATTGTAGAAAGTTCTCTGTGAGGGAAGGAAGATGTGAACAACAACATCACCTGTAACCAATAAACAATCACTAGAGCCACAAGGATCACACAGTACTCAACAAGATTACCAAACCAAGCCTAATCTAGAACCAGTGAAGCAACCGTTTCCATTAATTAACTAGAAGCATAGGCCAAGTGCACTCTTGATCTGTAAAATTATATAGGCGTTTTGGATGACACAATTTTTTGTTGATTGGCTAAAACGGCTCTGGTGGGATCAAAGAGGGTAGAATCTTCTGAGGTATGGTGTTGCATCATGTCAGAGTACAATGTATTTAATAAGTTTTGTCTTTGCAGGTGTATGTTTTATACATCTTGTTGGAGTGCAATGGCCAACTTCAAGGGATTTCTTCGGGTAAATGCAGACAATTAAAGGGCTTTACTGAATTGATGTACTCCTGCTCTCTGCAGCAGACTCTGTTCTTTGTTAATTTTCAGGTGGATATTTTATCCTTCAAGAAAATGCAGTTCCTCCCTTTCTAAAAGTTTTCTTCTTTTCTTTATAAAAGAAACTGGGTAGAAATTTAAGATATAAAACTTAAGAAACATGTTTTTTAGTAAGATGGCATCAATTTGAGTGGCAGTACTACATGGTACCTTTTAGAAGGGAGGTTGGAGTACGATGGCAATGGCATGTAAAGCTTTGTTCTTAAGTGATAACAAGATTTCTATTAGCATGTTATGCTATTATAATTTAAAATCACTTACCGAAGTCCAACAGGGTCCATGAGTTAGGCTTTGTATCTCCTGTTGGAATTTTTCCATATTTCTTCTCAGCTCGATCTCTCATCCTGGACCTAAAATGCAATATCAACAAAAATGAAATCCTCAAAAGTTGCCTTCTCAATATAAAGATATCAGTGACAAAACCCTTACCCGATAGCATCAATCTGGGGACGAGAAAATGCTGTAGCTATGATAAAAAATCGGGTCCAGTAAACAAGTGGCTTCACAAACAAGACCTTTATATCTGCTGCCTTAACCTCACTTGCAACCGAAGCCAATTCCACAGCAACTACAAATATGACCCTTAGCAATTAGACAGTATTTGAGGATCGGTATATTTCTTCCTCTCTTGAATAGTTTTGTATAATCAGAAAGTAACTCAACTAGTTTTTCGAACAGTTGAACACACTTGTATTCAGGGGAAATTAACATGATCTTACAGAAAGATTCCATGGTACAGAACAATTAAACAGAAAAGTAAAAACCAATGCACTCAACTGAGAAGACATATTTATAAACTAGGTGTTAGCAGAGAGGATTTTCTACTTAGAAACACACAAAGAAGATTCACTCAAGTACTTAATAAAATTATAATTGTCCCGCTACAATTTCTTTATGTTATAACAATAAACATGGAGATTAACTGTGTTCACACATATGTAGTAATATTCTTACAAACAGAATCTACTTACTCATCAATTAAGTCAGAATGACACAGAACTGAAAGCCTGGCCAAATCCAAGCACAACAGGCATATGGTGGAGAGTGGCCATGGAGGCACGTTAAGTAGCATGATTTTGTTCACAAGCACACATGAAAACAATTACATTTATCAGTTAAACAACCATATCGATAAAAATCTTTCACCAACAAATAGATAAGCTAACCAAAATATCAGACAGGCTGAGTTCAGTAAAAACATAGGAGCTTAGGTTATTTATTTAACTGAGGCTCCAATCACCCAACAAAGGTGAAGGAAGATCAGGGTATTTATGGGTATCCACTTCCCTTTACAGCCCCACGGCAGCAAGAATATTCCTTATTTTCTTCTGCATTAATTTATTTCAACTTTATTCTCCCAGAATTTATGTTTTATACCTGCATGCGTATCCATGTACATGGGGAACACACCCTAAAAGTCTAGGCTATTAAGGAGAAAGAATAATGCCCTTCAATACTTCATCAAACATCTATAATACCCAAGTTCCTATCATAGGATCACCACCCATAAGAGCTAATGTCTCACGGCTTTCATTCTAGGCACTTCATTTAACTCCGTGTTGTTCAGAACCCTTGCTGTAGTCCTTTATGACACACCAACAACTGGCTGTGATATAAACACTTGGAAATTCAACCTCAAAAGCTAGCCATCAAGTGGGGAAGAACAAAGCACTTAAATACTCCACTAAAGATTCCATGTTACTCAATG